AATGCTTCTCCTCGGGGCCCCCAGTGACAAGCCGGGTAGCTCTATTTTCCCTTTCAAGGCGGTGCTGGTGAGACACAGTCTGCAGTGATGACCCACCATATGGGAACTGATTTCTTACCTAAGCAACATGTAGAATTTTAATTGGCATGGCAATTAAACCCAGGGTTTTCCATTTGCAGACTGATGTTTTTCATTCAATAACCAAGGAACCTAAAAACTACATTTTCTATCCGAAGGACTACAGGCCTGGTTTATTCCTCACTTTTCTGCGGTATTCAACAAACACCGGGAGCTGACCAGACTCCAATGCTTTTCAAAGTCTGTGTTAGATATTATAAGAAAAAGGGGCACACAGACACACACAAGCACATGAAGGAATGACCTCAGAAAGAAACAGACTTTCTTCTCTTTGTATGTTCTGCCTTCACCATCTACCAACATGGGAGTCCCTTAGTATGCCATGCCCCAATTCAGCATGACTAAATTGTGCTAAAAACCTCACTGAAACCCCAGGCCTTATTACCCAGGAGCTCCTACTCTTTCATCCGGCCTCCCAAAAATACCCTGAAAGAGAATAAGCACAAATCAAGTACTGGTGAGTAGGAAGAGATCACTGCTTGCTTTGACTGAGCACTGCAAATAGACAAACTTAGCATCTTACTGCTCTTACCACTGCCTTCACCATTGTACTTAAGACAGTTCCTGAACATGGTCTTCATATCGCCCACAAATTCTTCCTTGGTGCAGTACTGACCTCCATTCAACTTCTTCTCCATGCTAGAGATGTCCATGGGGGCCTGAAACACAACAAAATCTCCCTTCAGTTACAGCAAGTGTAGTGGGGCTTACAAAGTTGCATAGCTAGCTTCCTCACAGAGAAGGGATAGGGAGTGGAGGCTGCTCTCCTGAGAGGCAGCCTCTCATCTTTGGTTTCCTTGACTTGTAAGGCTAGAAGGGACTACTGGAGTCATGCAGTTTGACTGAGAGGGTAACACAGCCCACAAAACTTCAAAACACTTCCAAAAAACTCCATCCTGGTCAGAGTGTTTCAGGATGGCTGGACCACCTTCCATACCTTAATGATCTGGTAGTAGTTGGGAGCATACGATTCATCAACGGGTTCCAAGAAGGGCCAAGAGTCCTTGTGAGCCTTTACCACATCTAGAACTGGCAGTAGCAAAAGAAAGGTGAATGGTTACACACACACGCCCAGGAGAGTATTTCACTTTGAGCACGTCATGCAAAGGGGAAGGCTGGGGCAGGACTAACCTTTGTACATGGCTGTGAACTCATCGTCCAGTTCAAAGCTGTAATGGGAAGCACAACAGTGAATATGCAGACTGAGGACATATAAGACACGCTCTTGTACTTCATCTTCCCTTCCACCCCATGCACACTGCCATAATGCTGACAAATAGGCTTCATCACAAACACTCCTCTAACATGGACCAAATCCAGATGTTTCTCAGCTTACTCCTTGCTGTTCTCCAACCTCACTTCTCCCTCCTCATTCCTGTGAACGATCACACTCCTCTCCTTCCCGTACTCACTACTTCAATGCACTCACATGCTGCATGCCCAGCTGCATACTCACAGATCCTTGGTCCTTCGCTCTTCCCTGGTAGGGGAACTTGGATCCAAGTGGGAAAGCTCAGGGGGGAGCTCCTTCCCCTGCGCCAGCAGCCAGGCCCGCTCTTCACGAAGCTTCCTCCTCCTAGCCCGTTCTGCAGTGGGGAAGGGGGAGAGGTGAAAAACCATTCAGCACTCCTTGTCACAGAATCATAGAATCATTAAGGTTGGAAAAAACCTCCAAGATCATCAAGTCCAACCATCAACCCAACACCACCATGCCCACTAAACCATGTCCCTAAGCACCTCATCTACACGCCTTTTAAATACTTCCAGGGATAGTGACTCAATCGTTGACAACAACATCTTGCAGGGAAAACGAAGGCAGCTCCTGCAGCTCTCAAGAACTCCAGTGAAACATTCTCGTTCTTTCAGCAAAAGCAGCAACAGCACAGGAGCAGAGGAGGTGAGAATACAGCGCACCATCAACATGGTTTCCCCTGACTTTACAATCATTGATTTTGAAACATTACTGTGGTACAGATGCTCCCCTAGGCAGCTTCCAGACAAATTCCTGACCATGGTGTGGTACAAAGAGAGAAGTTCAACGCACAGACCTAGGCACAGACCAGCACTGTGGAAAGAGCTGGCTTGTTAAGTTACCATCCTTCTGATGCTTCACCTCAGCCAGGTGAGCCCAAAGCAGCTGGTTTTGCACTGAAGTGGATGAAAAGCAGTGCCGAGGGAAGGGTGAAGTTCTACCAGCTGGGTGGCAGTGAGTAACTGGGGTCATTAATATCTTCCACCGCCATGGCTAGCTTTGGTAAGATTGCTCAGGTAGGCCTTCACAGGCAGCAGCCAGAGCGAGCAAGCTGCCATACAGGAGGGCTACTGGGACAGCTTTGGTTTAAGAGGTGAAAGGCAGGAAGAAGCAACACTGGTAATATAACCTGTGGTTTGCAACCAGACAGCTGGCTAACAGATTGCTTCATAATAGAAAGTTTATGGGCTCTTATGAACCTCATTGCCTTTTTCTTATAGGAAATCTGAATTCATTTGACTTGCTAAACACCTGCGGTTGTACCAACTTTCTGTAGGAGCAGAATTCTGTGAAAGTAATGTTCAAGGAGAGATGTCATAGGAGTAAGACTCCAGAAAACAGGCCACATCGGGGAACACCTAGAGTGAAAGAAAGATGGGGAGGACTTGGCTAATACCCTCTAGCAGGGGCTCCATCTTTGGAAAATGCCAAAGACTCAAGAAGCACCAGCTCTGGCGGAAGAGTATTAATTTACCGTCTTAATCTGTCACTCAAAACCAAACTTGGGATGGGGGTTGAGGGCCCAAGAAAACTAGGAATAGCTACAAGGTGGGTATTTCCAGGGAGGTCCATGGCCAGATACGTCCAAGACTGGTAAAAGAAAGTCCAAACTTCCCGTTAGAAGACTCTGGCTAGCACTGAAGTTGGGAGGACAGGACTTGTATCTAAGATGTCCTACAGAATCTAACAGCATCTATTATAACATTTAATGATGAGAAGTCCAACATCAAATGGCAGTTAACAGAGATTATCTGAGTCTGTCTAAGCACAGTTCAGTACTTCATGCTTCTTTTGTAAAATTAGCATTACTTAGATGACATTGTAATGGATGCCTGAGTGAGAAAGCTGAGAAAAACTTGAGGTGATGATTTGGGCAGCAAAAGGAAAATCTCACGGCAACAGCAGCCAAGAGGTAAGGTGATGCAGGTTTTAAAAATCCCTCAAAGCCTGCCAAGGATCTGACCTGGTAAACTGTCAGGAATCAGGGAGCGCTACCCTGGTACCAGACTGGAGCTCAGTCAGGAACAATGGCAGGTCCCTCTACTATAGCAAGTGATTAATATAGCAACTGATTAATATAACATGTTAAAGATCACTGGCAGAGCTCGTTGTCATGCTGTTGGTCTGGGTTGAGTCCTACCCAGCAGCTTTCAAAATCTAACCAGTGCCCTAAAAAGTACCTCAAACAGCTAGAAAGTCATATGTGCGAGAGAGAATGTTGGAGCAGCATCTGGGAAGAGAACTGGGAAACTCCAACCTGCTGTTGTGGTAGAAATCTAGAAAGCTGCTTTAACTCATAAATTCAGGAAAGTACAGATGGGCCCAGCAGGAGGCTTGCTACCTGGGGCGTGTGTTGGAGTGTGGGGAAGTGAAATCCCAGACTGGAAACTGGACTGTGATCTAAAAACAGGCATACAGTCCAAAACCAAGAAGCAGGTGAAGTGCTGATGAAGTTCATCAGAGAGCAGATATTTCACCCTGTGTTTCTCATCACCCCTCTACAGAAGACCTTACAAAATTAATGTTAAATTGCAAACAGACTGCAAAATACATGAAAATCTTTGTTACTCTAAAATCTGTCAATGGATGTCTAGTTTTAACAAGTCTGAACCAAGCAAAACAAATGACTTCATTTTCAAATCACTTTCTGTCCATCATAAGAACTGTCATGAAAGTAAATGCTAATGGAGGGTGTGCTTGGCAATAAGGAAAGATGGTTAAAGAAGCCAAAGTTTTACCTGGATAGCTACCGTTTCTAGGAATGAAAAATACTGCAGTGATTTAACTGAACAAGTCAGCCATTTAAATAACCTTTCCAAACAACTTTTGCACCAGCTTAAAAGGAGGCTTCTCCTGACTTAGCCTAAACTAACTAGGGACAATTTTAAACTAAACTGAAAAAAATGGAACAAACCAAAATAAAAGCATCTCTGCCAAGAAAAGCATGAATGTATGCTAAATTGGCTTAAAACAGTTTACTGCCCAATCCCATGCCAGTTTCTTTTGAGTAGCTCTGGTGCCTTTGCATCAGATGATGTAGTGATTGCATTTACCCAGAAAAGGACATGGCTCATACCAAAACAAGACTTTTTCACAGGTACATTTATCTTTGCAGCTCTTCTAGAACTTCAAGATTAATTTTGTCTATACAGATGGAGAATTAAAGCACAGAGAATATGCAATTTGCCAAGGTGAAACAGATATCTGTGGCAGATATGGAAACTGGATGATTCTCAGTTTAAAGCACCAGATTAGCTAGGACTCGCAACCAGGAATATACGAAGGCCAAGCAAGTAATTGGATTTTCTAAAGGTTAGAAAGGTAAGCAGGTAAAAGAAACTATTCTTAGATAACATCTGGTCTGCTACCAAACATCTGGTAGCAGACTGTTTCATCTTGGAAAGTTTACAAGGTTTGCATGAACTTAATCTTTTTTCCTTTTCTGATTCTTTATCCACTTAAGGATTCACGATACCGATACCGCCACACATTACCACCACAGTTTTCTGAAGATGTTCAGCCTTTCCCTGGAACTGCAACAGCCCAGACAGCCACTGTGGCAAAAGCAGCAGATAAAGGAATCCCCGTAAGGGAGGCTGACAGAAAGAAGGTGGTCAGAAATGAGCCTGCTCTTAGACACCAGTGCCTACATGTACTGGCTGAATGCCTGCTGTTTGTGCCTCGATCGGATATATTAAACACAACATGGCTCTTTCTTGCAGAACAGCTTAAATCAGCATTTAATTCAAAACCATGAAAAACGAAGACCAACACTTGAAGTTGCCACCTCTGGTGCTCTATTTAGCCTGGTCCCCTCATCTTGAGTTCTCCAATTGATAAGGCCAGTAGCAATATAGAAATGCTACTCTTGCTACTCCCATGTTGTCCCCTTCCCTTTCTCCTCAAAGGGAATCCTTCTTTCATCATGCATTGGGCCAAAAGGACCAAATGCTATTCAGCAAGAGCAAAGCCAGCTAATCCTGCACACAGGGAAATCCATGAGGAGGCAAGTGGGGAGACAGAAGAGAACTGAATGGAACAACATGAATAGCAGGAAAAAAAAGTACAGCTGGAGCAAGGGCGAAAATAAGCATGATTTAAGGAAGATGACACAGTTGAAGAGCGCACTAGAGAACAGCCACCGACAGTGAGGGAGATAGACAAAGGAAAAGAAGCTACAGTCAGACCAATTTATCCAAGGTAAGTGCAAGAAAAGATATTCCTGTTAGCAGGTCTGGCAGGGGAGGAATGCAAATGGCAGATCTTAATTCAAGATCTCAGTCTTGGCTTTGAAAACTTCCACCCCTGCTTCACACTGGCTGCACATACCTTCTACTGCTTTGACCTTCTCCTCCATCTCTCTCTTCCTCTCTTCCTTTAGCAGCTGTTCCTGCTCCCTCTTCTGCACTGCTATAAGGATTTGGCGCTCCTCCTCTTCCTCTCTGCGCCTCTGCTTCTCCATCGAACTCAGCACGTTCGGGTTTACCTGTGACAAAACAGTGCACCAAAAACTGTAATGCATTGGCTTACTGAAGTCTGAGCAGAGGCAGGTTTACTTTGAGCAAGTATTAAAGCATACCTACAATGAATGGCTGGGGGGAAAAACGAAGGGAAAAAAAAGGATTTGTACAATGAATTCTTGGATGAAAAGCAACACGTAAAGGAAAGTTATTTGTCAAGCAATGAAATCCTACTGATACAGGGACAAAGGAAGGAGAAGTGATGGGTTAGACAAGCTGCCACTCTGCCAGGGACGCATCGTGTGTATTTCCCTTCTGGGCAAAGGATTCAGGCTGTTGACACCCCCACCCGTTCCAGCTAGCAGAGCTCTGAGTTGCAAGCATGAGCAGAAAGGACTACTCTGCCCAACCTGGCTCTGCTATAAAACACAGATAATTAGGATAGGAAAAGAGACTGGTACAGCCTTGCGTCAAGGTATCGTTGGGAGTGTTTTCCTTTCTTGTTCAAAATAAGGCCTGCCGTATTTCTGTGTGCTAGTCTCTCCTGAACTAGCTCTTGCTTGTTTGTTTGGACAGTTTTCCTGCTGGGTCCCCAAACCAGTTTTCTCATTCAAGGACGCCTGGCTCTTTATTGCCCCACTTCCTCACCTCCCCACTGCCAGCAGGCTGCAAGGTTGTGTTTGATCCTACTTAGACTGCAGGCTTCCCAGACCAGCTCCTATTTCTCCAATAAAGTGCGAGGTATATATATAGCAGTGTGGAATTACCTTTATTAGCTTAATTTAATTATAAGACAAATGAATTGGTCATCTACCAACCACTCCCACCTCTTTGACTTCTGCAAGACCAAGATATGTGTGCCTTATCAGCAGGGAATATCAACCGGAAAAGAACAATGTGCATACAGTTTTCTCTACCTTCATTTTCAGGGAATAGCCAGCAACTACTACTTAGGCAGAAGGCATTTCCTGAGGATTAGCAATCAGCTGGGGTCCCTTGGCTGCTGCTCAGATCATCAACTTTTCCAGGCCCATTATTAGTCCCCAGAAAAAAATCTGGCACCATGATTACTATTTTGTCCTTGTTTCATTGCCTAGAAGTGGAACCTCGGGGTGTTTTGATGAATGCCTAGAAATGTTGTCTGGTTTCACTGTACATTCTTTCCCCCTCTGCCTCCCCTTCCCCTACACAGCACTGCCCTACAATCTCTCCCTGCAGCTCTCCGTGGATGAGCATTGTGTGTTATCTCCCTGTCTCCGGCAGCAACAACGTATTAAGAGAATCATGCTTCAACCATCAACAGCCATGGAGAAGTGTCCAAGAGAGAGTGATGGGACTCTTGATGACATTAGGACCATATCCTGCATCTAGGGACAGGCTGGACAGCAAAAACACCTATTCTGTGCCGATCTTTTTAGGTGAAACCCACAGCACAATCTCACCACAAGGGAACTCTGCCCATCTTCTTTTCCTTTTCAGATCTTTGCCAAATATTAGTACTTCACTCTTCTACAGCCTTCCTAAGGAAACCATTCTGTGAGTCCACACGCCTTTAGGTTAGCCAGCTTCTCCTCGCATTCAGTCTAAAGTTAATTTCTCATCCCCTCATTCCATTCAATTATTCCTAGTTACGCTGTTCTGGACAAGCATAAATTCTCTTCTTCAGCCACGTTCCAGCCTTTATAGGCTTCCTCAGACACTTACACAAAACTCCCATTTTCTGTAATTAGGTTAAATGTTTCCTTATAAAGCAATCCTTCCAGCTCCCTAATCATTCCAGTTGTCTCTCTCAGACCTTTCCTCCGACTGATCAATATCCAAACACCAGGATGCCCAGGACTGAAACTGCTATGCCAAGTACAAGAGGTCAAGAACCTACAGAACCGGGTTCTTAATTTCCACTTTTGAGTCTTTTCATATCCCTTTCTCAACCACTCTACCATCTCAGGCACTTTCAGGCCTGACCCTGATCATCATCAACTAGTTTTCCCCTAACCTTTTAACTTTCTTGATCAATCTTTAAATTGCAATAGGAACCAAAACCCATCAGGTTCTGCAGCAATTCGGAAGAGAAAGAGGTGAGCAGCAACCAGCCATCAGAAGTTGGTACGCCAAGATATTTTATTGGGGATGTGACCATCAGCCTCTAGATTCTCCAGCCAGTAGATCTAAGCCTGCCTAGTGTGCCACACTAATTTTTCAACTGTTGGCACACAGGTCAGACCTTCCCTTTCCCTGGATTCATACAGCTTCCATCATTCATGTCCTACAGAAATGTGCACACAACATCCAAGCCGCAGTGCTCACACCAGGACCTCTCCAAGCCTGCAGGGTGCATTCAGCACCCTATACTGTAATGGCGCGACACAGAATCTATAGCACATTCCACATCAACCCACCACAAATACAGCATCGACAAAGCAACGGGACAATCTGAAGCAAAGGAGAGGATGTCATCCTAGCAGATCTAGAAATAGAAGAAAAGGGAAAAGCAGAAACCACAAGAGCAGTGTAGGGAGCACCAAGGGCTGCAGCACATGTCCGTGACAACCACACTTGCTCCCTGCAGCACTTGCAGGGCAGCAGCAATGCTGGCACGGGCTCTTCAAGACACTTCAGACACAGAAATCGCCAGATTTTCAGAAGGACCTACTGCCTGGTGTCCCACTTAAGCCCATTGGGGATGAGGGTGCTCAACTCAGGGTTAAAAAAATAAGCAAACACAAACAAGTAAACTCCTAGATGTGATGGAAGCAGACACCTATTGGAACGATAAAAGCAAGAACCCAACACAAGTTAAGCTTCCTCCCTGAAAGAAGACATGGCAAAAGGACGTTTCTCCAGTTTCCTCCCCACTTGGAGGATAAAAACCACCCCTCTCATCTGCGACCGCAGCATCACCGCCTCCTTCCCTCCGCCAGAGAGCACTCCAGGACACAACATTGCTGCCTTCCCCCCCTGGGACCCCAAAAGGGCCAAAATTCTGCCTTTTGCTTTGCTCTCCAGACAGCGGGTATCAGGCTTCAGGGGCAGAAGGCCAGGAGGCATGGGCGCCCCGGCCCCCTCCAGCCACACGCCCCGGCCCCTCGCCCTCCAAACCTTCCCTGCTCCGGTTTCCGCAGCACTGCCCTAATGAGGGTGCTGCTCAGGCGGCTCTTTAATGAGGAGCTAATCTGAACCACCTGTTGAGAAATCCCCTGCAGGATTAGGAGCCTACGGAGCAGTTATATCTCAGACCGAAGCGGCATCCAGCTCGTGGAGCTGGGAGGAAGGGGTCACCCCTGCACCGGGCTGAGGTTTTCTCCCCCAGACTCGCCTGTTGCCCACCCCTCGCTCAGCAAACAAGCCATCAGACATGCTGGCACCTTCCCTGGCTCCCCCGCGGCAGGGATGACTGTCACGTCCTGCTGGGGAGCCCGCACGAGCATCGCCACCCCTTGCGCTGGCTGGCTCCCCATGCCTCAGTGCAGCGGGTGCCGGGAGGGCCCCCCGCTCGCTGGAAACGTTTCACTGGCCCACAGGCAGCAATTAACAGCCCTCTGCCACCGCAGACCTGGAGCACCTGCGGTACTGATTAGCATCATTCAGGCTCCATGTGTTTCCCACTCTCGTCCTCCTCTGGGATTTCTGCTGCCTGTGAACAAACACGTGTCCCTGCACTTCCTGCATGGTGGGCTTTGCAGAGAGCAGTTCTGGCCCCAAACTGACCATCACTGGGGTCTTATTTTCCTCTCGGCAGGCTTTTATCTGCGGCTTGATGAGAGGTTCTTCCTGCCTTTTATTTATCTATTCTAAGTAATTATATTTATTGTGGGGAACTGTACTTTCCCCTTTGTTTTGTGGGAACCCCTGACCCTGGCTCACGTGGAACATTCCCTGCAGTTTAATTTCCCAGTGTCTGACAAAACACCAGGTAACTACATTTTCGTTACATCTACAACGAGAGATTATGCCACGGCCTGATAGAATCAAGCCAATTTTTTCCTCCAAAGCTAATCCCGTGTTGCCTGACCGATTGCTTTGGGTAGCAGTTGCCAGTTCAAAGACCCCCCATCTCCACCATACCATGCCCCTGGCTGTGCCAGCGTGACTGTTGGGGGCTGCGTGGTGAACTGGATCGGAAAGCTGATCTACGTTAAAAATAACCCCGACCAAAGAAAAAGGTTATATTTAACTCCAGTCATTTTCCTGGGTCTGGTTCACTGCACAGACCCGCAAGCGGCAGCGCTGTTACACTGATGGGGTGGAGAGGAGATGAGGGTGAAGAGGCACGGAAAGAGCCGTTTCAGCTGACAAGGCTGCAGTTTGATAAGCATTTCTTTAAGCAGCCTAAATTGTGACTTCCATTTCCAGCTGACCCCCTCCTAGCTCAGCTCCGTACCGCATCAGTCATTCTTCTCTCCCTCCACACTATCTACACCCTCATGTGTTTGCAGCCTCACGTTTTCCCCTTGGCTGAATTTCTGTCATTTCCCTTTGTAAGCCGGTTCTTCTAGCCCTCTCATCCTTCTTCAACTTTTCTTTGAACTGCCTCGAATGTGCCAGCACTTTCATTGAAGTGGAATTCCCCAGACTGAGTGCAGATTTCCATATGCAGCTGCACCAGGAGTCTGCGGCAAGGCCGGTTACCTCTGCGATCCAGAGGGCAGCACCTCCCTGCTCGCCATAGAAACCCCGAGTGTCAGCCTGCCTTTGACGGGCATTACCACCCATCTCTCTTTCAGCACAAGCACTTTCAAATGACTCCTTCCCACTGAATAGCGATGCTGCGGTTTATTTTTTCCCCCAGGAGGCATCTGCTCTCGCCTCCCTCCGTCGTCCTCCCCCTCGCACCCCCCCTCACCTCCTGCTTGATTGGTTTGATGGGCTGATGGTCAGACATCCACCTGGGAGAAAACTCTGTCCGCTGCAGACGCTTCTCCTGAAACAGGGTTGAGAATTAAGGGAAGGAAAAAGAGAGTGGAGGAAATTAGGGCACATGGGTGATACTGGCAGGAGAAACTCTGGGGGCTAGAAGTGACCATGAAATCCCTATTAGCTTTACAAGGGTAGCAAACAAGCAAACTGAACTCAATCCAAGAACATCACGCTGACTGCAGAGCCCGTTTTACAAAGCCGTCTAGCCGAAGGATCCCGTTCCAAATCTGTCCCACCTGAAAACATTCAGTTGACGGACAATACCCTTCGGAGTTTCGGGGCTCTGACATACCAGCTCAAGCAGATTTAGCTAGGACAGCTAAAGCAGCCACTGCCCCTTCAGCAGAGCCAGCTGAGAAACGGCAGTAAAAGTGGAATCGCGGGCAGTTTGCATAGAAAAGCTAGGCTGTAAATCGCAGCAGTTCAAAAGCAGACAGATTCCCTGCTAGCAGAAAAGGGACACAGAACATGGCTGAAGACAGTAACCCCTTCAGCCATCCTACCCATGCTGCTGTGCAACCACAGATCCTTAAGTATCGACTCTAGCCCTGCCACTCCATGGGGAGAGCCTTTCTCCCCATACACAAGCTAAACAGCCCCCGCATCCACGACACTTGCAGGCTGGAGTGGGGGGAGCAGGACGGGGTGAGGTCTGCTTGGATTTAGCTCTCCTTCAATCAGCAAACGTCCATGCTCTTTGGAAGCGGTCATAGAGAGGTAAACAGGATGTCATGTCTCCTCACCTTCTGTGCAATCATGTTGCAGATCTCCGGCAGGAAGTCTTCACTCAAGAGTTTGTAGAGCTGCCGCTCTCTAAGGGAAGTCCTCTCTCTGAAGCTCTCTGTGACCTGCCTCCACTCCTCTTCCGTCTGACACAGCAGCCACCATGTCCCACGGCCAGGCCCTTGGGACCCTTCAACAACATGAAAGGATGTTATCTCCACAGCAGTTATGACTAACAACTTTTCTTTATCCCTTCTCTTCTCCTCTCCTCTGGGCTCGGGAAGAGCGAAATATACAGCTGATGGCCACTGTTATGGGAAACATGCTCTTTGCTATAGACCCAAAGCTCTCTTGATCCACCAGAAGCACTGCTACCTCCCCCCTAGCGACACCGAAAGTGATGCCAAGACACAGAGGAAGTACACAGTTGAAGAAGTAATGGTGGCACCTTGCAATGCATGGGTAGTGTGGCATCCCTGTAGCAAGCCTCCATTCCAGTTATGATGGACCAGAGAAAAGGATTTAATTTGTTGCTTGTAATGGAGGCTGTCAGCCAGAGCAGGACATAGGGTAATGCAAATGTCTGATTTAGTCTGGCAGCAGAATAAAAACATTGAAAATTAATATTACTTGAAATAAGCCTTTTTTTTTTTTTTTAGCATTGCAAACCTTTGCTGCAGTGAATAAAACCTCCCATTCTCCCCAAATGAAACATTTTGTTTGCAGGCACTTGAAAGAACAGAAGAGGAAGTGAAGGACAGGCTTCATCGGGCTGCCAGATGAGGGGGAAGTTCCAAAAGTTCACATCCCATCCCTGCTCGATCCAGAGTGGGATCTGAAGCAGATCTCCCACCGCTCTGAAGCATGTCCCAACTACCAAGACACTCTGAGCTGTTCCGCCTTGTGAGAAACATTTGAATATTAATTGCAAAGGAAGGACTCGCTCGCGTGGTGGTTGGAACACCCACCTGGAGAGGGGGAATGTTGTTCCTGCTCCACAAATGTTTACACAGAGCAGAGAAGCCTCATGGGTTGCAACTTGCATGCTTTTGCCCTGGGATGCTCTCTAAGCAAAAAATGTTGTGGCCCATTTTTGGGGAGGGGGAAGATGTTGGTTCAAACCCCTCCAGGCTAAGGGGTTCTCAGATCCCTCTAGACTTTTCTAGAGCTAACCACAGGCTACTGGAAAGAAAGCAATGGTCACCACCCCCAGTGGCAGATGTCACGCAGCTTCTCACCGCATTTTCAAGCAAATTAACTATGAAAAATATAAAGAAGCAAAAAACAGAGCCTCTTTCTCTTTAACCCGACCCTGGACCCTTTGTGGATTTGAGCTGCCAGCGGCTCCGGCACACGAGCTATCAGGTTGCCCCAGAAGACCGGAGAGCTGCAGCCTCCCTCCAGCCACCTGCCCTCTGTCGGAAACCTCCGTGCCGCGGTAGCAGCACAGAGCAAGCGTGTGCTAGCTCCAGGTCACAGGCCAGCGTGCAGCTTAACCCGCCCTTGGCTTCAGCTCAGGTTAACGTACTGGGGACTGGTAACCGTGATGGTGAAGGACCAACCATGTGCTGGTTTCTATTGCCCTGGCTATGGGAATCTGTCCCCTGCCCACCTGCGGTGGGGAGCTTACCTGCACGCTGCCCCCAGAGCCTGTCCCCTCGTTTCCCCTTCCCTTGCCCGGGACTCGTTTTGAAATGGGCGACTCATTTCAAAAGCAATCAGGACTGAGGCACTGCTTTGTGCCACCAGATTACCCGGCAGCTGAAGTGACACAATTTGCTGGAAGACAATGATCTGATAAAACCCCCAGCGTCTCACCCAGCTCTGCCGCCCAGCTCTGGAGCAGCCGCCAGGAAATTTGAAGACAAAGGGCGAAGAGAAGGAGGCAAGGCAAAGACAATGCCACCCTTGCCTTTTATTGTGGGGGAACATGGGCAGGCTGAGCCCCTGGCTTTTTCTGCTTGCCTCATTAACCCTTAGGTGGGTATCCCCAAGACATCATTTATTGAGCTCAGCCACCCAACGGCCACTGGGAAGGAGAGGTGAGGAGAATCAAAAAGGTTCTTCCTTCCCTTTCTTGGCATCACTGACCCCACTCTCTTCCCAGTCTGAAAAAATGCACCCACTCCAAACAGGCTCATCCCTGGAGGAGCAAGAGCCATTCACAGCCCATTTCCATCAACTTCAGTGAGGAGGTGGGCCCCCAAGACCTAGTGTAACCCAATACGTTACATTTCTTCATCCCAAACTAATCCACAGTAAGATAGGAAGCCCACAGGTGCCCAGGCTCCCAGCTGCAAGGCAGCCTGTAATGCCAACCCCTCCTTCCAAACTCGGCCCCAACCACCGGCAGAAAGACTCTCCCTTTCCTGAGAAAGGCACCTCTCTGGGCTTTGATAATTTAAGAGCTGTCTTAGCTGATCGTATCAACGCTGACCCCGCAAAATCTCTTTACCATTTCTTATCTGAGTCTCATGGATTAGCAAGTTCTCTTCTGCCTTCTCCCTACCAAAAAAGAAAGAGAAGGAGTGATACAATAAATATATTACTTCACATCACTGAAATGCACGCGCTTCTGAGGAGAATAATGGGGGACACAGTGATTATTCAGTGCACAGCAAAACCGTGAAAAAAACAGCGTGCAGAACACATTTGATATATATATTCACATACATATTTATCATAGCTTCATAAAATTTTAAGAAGTGAAGGGTGCAGGCTGGAGTTTGGCAAGGACAGTATTTCAATTCTTACAGGAAGCATCCCCAAAATCTATACTGACTCCAGTCGCCAGGATTTTGGCTTCAAGCGCTACGCAGTGAAAGCGTTCTTTATCAGGAGCGTATCCCGTAGCACTGCATGGGGGAACGGCATCTGAAGCGAGGCGGCTGGAAGAGTGATACCCACTGTTTCACCAAACTTGGCTTCCAGCTTAGCCAGAATTTTCTTTGGAGAGTGATCAAAGCACCTACCAAGTCTGAGCTTGCTTCACTTCAGAGATGCATTAAAATTATGGCTGCATGGTATATACATACTTATTGGGGGAACCCCAGAAGTACATTACACTTCCCTCTGGGAACATATGCATTTTACGTCTATTGCAGGAACAACCTTTCCATACCTCAGCAAATTTTCTTCCAGTAGTTTTTTCCGCTTTGGTGGTCGCCCTCGTCTCTTGCCTGTTTTCCCAGGAACATTTGGGGTATTTGTCTGCCCCCCGCATCCCCTGCAAAATGGCAAAACCACCATGAAATATCTGCTGAGCAAGGGAACTGCGGCTGGCAGGATGGGAGAAGGGCAGGGAAATCGCAACAGCTGCTAGGAACCCAACCAAAGGAGGGATTAAATCAGAGCAGCAATGGGACGGGGAGGGGAGGAGAGGAGGGATTCCCACTCGCTGGGAGCCTGATCTGGGAGCCGCCGGCACGGTGCGGGGCAGACGGGGAGGAATGCGGTGGGGCAGGCAGCATCGCTCCCACAGCAGGCTCTCCTGGTGCCACAAAGGCTGCAGGCTGGCTCCGACACAATGCGTGACACGGGGCAGCTCGCAGTCTGCTTGGCAACTCCGGTCTCACCCCGCACCGCCCCAGCCCTCTCCCAGACCCCCCCGCGCCACTATACTCTCCCCCCGCCCCAACACAACAGCAGTCAGGCGGAGTCCCCTCCAGCCGGGCTGGCT